AATACACAGCATGACAGTATAACACAGCTGAGAAGCAAGTTGATCGCAAGATCAATGCCACCCCATTATTTTCACCATAATCAAAAAGGCTTTTAAGGAACCATGTTCTGTCTTGGTAAGATACGAGCACTGTCAAAGGTGCCATCTTAAATTATATGATAACACAAGAGAAGCATTCCAGTCCATACTTCCAGAGACTAATGGACACAATGTTACTTAGAGGAGATATTGCTAAGGACTGGGAGATTATGAGACCTTTTGAGTGGCCAGGAAAGAAATTTCCCCAAAAGACACTTTTTAACATTCCTTTTTTTCATCCCAATTCATTGAAGGCCCTACCTTTCAATCTGTTCATGTTCTTACAACTGTGAGCATAATTCCACTTTGATTAACACCGGTCATTGGTGACAATAATTGTATTGCCTCTGTCATGGGAGTGAGGCAATAAGCTTGCTGTGAGGCAATACGCCTGTTGTCATTTGTTTGTGGTCTCATCAATGCATCAATTTCAATTACTAGTGTTTGCTACACAGAGGTACATGTATGATCACAATGCACATCCACCTCATACTGGGCTTTTCTGGAGAGGGAATTGTGTGCATGGAAATTCTATTATGTTGTTGCTAATCAAAGTTAATTTCCTTTTGATCCTATTGCCACTCTTGTAAGCAGATGGGAAAATTTGTCAATGTAAGTACTTGATATCAGATCTATCATGTGTATTATTACTCGTGAGAAAACTAATATGTAAATCTGCAAAGAAAAGGACTGTGTGCTTCATGCACCTTACCCAGGGAAACTACATGTATGTCATATGTTTGAAAAAATGTTCTGTTTCACCTATCTAACATATGTCAAATCAACTTATTGTTGATCGAGTTAAGCACTTCTCAACCACAAGAAAACTGGACAGGATTTATGTAGCTGGCGTGTAAAACCACCAAATTGGTCTATGCAAAATACAGCAGTCATGTTATGAATGGCAAAAACAAGTATCTTGAGAATGACATCAGGATCTCATGTATCAGTCACTAATATGTTTTTTATAGCCTCAATTAAGTGACAGTAGTATCCAGCTGCTGCTGGCTTGGAGGCATTCTCTCCAGGAAAAGGAGCCTGCTACTGAATTATTGATCTTACCACTAATTGGGTGTTACCAAATTGTTAGAATATTGACTGTATATACCACAGATGTTTTCTCGATGAAAAATGATGTAGTGGGGACATGGATTTTGGATAAACATGAAAGACAAGCACCTGCAGCAGAACTTCCTGTCTTGTCATATATCAATGCCCCCATCAACCCATGATCTTTGTGAAATCAGACTTGCGGTCTCTTTCATTGTAATTGTAGTTAGAATCAAGGTAACATGAATTGCATGCCTTTGGACATTTTGCCCACACAAACAAGCTAAGGCTGAATGGAAATGTGTAACCTAAGGAGACAGTGCTAAAGGGCATTCTGCATTTTAGGGGCTTTTTACCTCCCATTCCATCTTCATACAAGACAACTGGGCCCTTTAGAACACAAAATGATCTCTATCAAGACCTAACCATAATCCTAACACTAACATGTCATGGAAAAACTGTGCCATGTCATTTCACTGCATGCAATGAAACTTGAAGGTGTGGGCACATTTTTCAAATACATACCACTAGATCAGATTAAAGCCATGAGTAGTATCATAAAGTAGAATTATAATAAATTACAAATCTTAAATCTACATGTTGCACATTTAGTACTGTGAATGTGATAATATGCAACTGTGCCCTTATAGTATTCTGCATAGTCCTGCAAATTGAACTTTTAGCCCTCTATTATGTTAATGTATTGATATATCCCGAGTGTAAATGCTGACTTAGCATACCATGTGTTCCAGGGCACTCGTTTGATTGCTCCCTACTGCGAGGGAAAAGTTCCAGATGATATAGATGAAAAGAGATTTTCTCAAGTTGCTGGAGGTGGAGGGGGTGGAGGAGGCGCATCTTATGTCTTTAAGGTTACTACAACTTCAATAGTGTTGGGTTCTTCAAAGTGTGTCACATCAAGATTTACTAAGTAGTACACTCATATTCTCAGTCTGGTACTTATTCTGGGAACTCTGTCCAGACAACGACACTGCAAAGGTGGAAATGAAGAATGCAATTAAAGATGTCCAAAATATCAGAATTCAAACAAGCAAGATGAGGATCCTTTATGAACAATTCTCACAATGTACAAGATACAATTTAGAATAAATCTTAGCTCAAGACTTTCTGACCTGTTCCAGGTGAATGCAGCGACTGGTGAATACATTCCGCTGATTGTAGCAGGAGGAGGAGGTGGGAAGGCCTACCGCCAGTCTGCTGAACACGACCCCTTCCCATTCACATGGGATTGCGAATGCAACACATCATGGAAAAGGCACAAATGGTCTGACTGGATTTGCAGGTTTGTCCAATGGCATGCACTTAGCTTTGAATTTGTTCAATGAAAATGAAATGTGAAGAAAGATTACTTGTTTCAGTTTTTTTAGCTTTAGGGCATTCCCTTAAGAATGGAGGTGGTAGTTTCTTAGATTTTCTGATTATTTTCAATACCCTTTGTTGATTGCAAAGATGCAACAGTTATGTTTTTTATAATAGAGATTTAAAGTTTGTTTTTTAGAAGGTTTTGTAAAAATTGTTACACTTTATTGTAAGATGGAGTACATCATTGCTCAAAATTGTGAAAAGGTTAAAAATGTATGGGGAAATGGGGAAAGCTTCATTGCTAAGTTGGTTACATAATGTTTGCAAACCATGTCAACGGTTTTATTTTTATATTTGTCTTTACATGTCTTTACCTTTATTTTGTATGTATATTGTTTTTATCACTATTGAACCTTTTTTGAAATGAAATAAATATAATCATAAAAAAAAGAATGGTGACTCAGAGACATAAAGATGGTGAGACATAACATCATTAATTCTGGCAGCTGATACTAACCTTGAGAGAAAGGAGTGAGCAGGTGGTAAAAGCTGAATGGTTTTGGTACTCCAGGTGGAGGAGGGGGTTGGAATGACACCACAAAACAGCTGCAGGGGGGCAGATCCCTTGTGGAGGGGGGGGCGTGGTGGAATGGCCTGCCCAGAAGCCATCAAGTCCCTGGGATGGAGCACGTCCGGAGGATTTGGTGGTGGTGGTGGTGCGTGCACAGCTGGCGGTGGTGGCGGTGGATACACAGGTACATGTATACATAGCTGCAATGTTTACGCAATTCAGCCCATGGTTGCAAGGTGCAACATACTCTATAGTCCAACATTGTACTGTTTTAGTTGTAAATAATAGAGAGCTCATATCCTACACACTTTCAGACTCATACCTGTACGAACCTTTAGCATCATAGTTTTGTGATGTGCTGTTTTATGCTATTTTTAGTACTCAGGCTAATGAGATAAAGCATGAACCGGTTCAGCCTAAATACCTCAAACGACCTCAACCGACCTCAACCAGCTGCAGGTCTAATATGCAGTGTACATGGGCTATTAACGCTCAGGATACATTGTCTATGCGATTATGAATATTTGCAAGTTTTTCCATGTTATAACTTCTGATAGATTGTAACCATATGGAGTCTAGTCGCAAATGTTTAGAAGCATTAGGTTATCGACTTAAATAGCAAAATAAATAGCAAAATATCCGCCCCCTAGTATTGACTAAATTCACTGCCGGAAACATGCCCCTAATTCTCCTCCCTAATTGCAGAGAGGATAAAAACTCAGAAGGTTTGGTAACCAGGCTGATATGTTCAATGAAGTACCAAATTCTTCATTTCATTTATTTATAATGTAGCTATGTATGTTTGATTACTTGTTTATAAATATGTAATGATATGGGCCTTTGAGTCAGAAGTAAAGAATGAAAGAAAGAAATGAATTAAATTAAATTAATTTCTCCTTTTGCAGTCTGTAGAATTGACTTCACTGTTGACTTTTCAGGTGGGGATGCACACAAGACAAACAATCTTCAGGGTGACGGCTATGGAGGGTACTCCTACATGAGTCAAGATGTCAAGCTTAATCTACCAGGTATGAAACCAGAGGGGTTCGTCAAAGGAATCCCATTACAAATCTGGCCATGATGTCTCCGTATCTTCATATCACTGTGTAATGTCTGTATTTTGTACAGTATGTTGAATACGTGCAAGTTTCATGTTGTGTGTTACATGATTTTGGGCTGTGTTCATGCACATATGATTAATTTTATTGGACATGTTAGTTTTGTTTGTTATGTGTTTTGCAATTTGTGCACAGACCTGACACACCACCCTCATGATTTGTTCATCAGAGATGGCAGAAAAAGCAGCCTGGGGTGGCATTATGTAAGTTAGTAAAATCATGGGCATCATAATACCCCTGGTTCTGTTTGGCACATAATTTGGCCTTCTCAATGCTCCACAGTAAAATCTGCCTTCATCGTCCATGTACTTACAGTATCAGCAGAGCTGCAGTGACATCATCCAAAGTTGGGGTGCATGTTCTGCATGAAGACAAGCTTTGTACTTGGGACAAAACAAAGAGCTCACGCTTCACTTGATTGCCTAGAGAGTGTGGCCTTCATCCTTCTACTATGTTTGTGCAGACTATACAGTATTGTTTTTTGTCCTGGTCCCGTATTCATGACTGCATGTTTTCAAGTATAACTCCACTTGGGCAGGTACCCTTCAGTCTTGCTGTAACTGACACTGACAAGTTACATGTTCCAGTGTTTTCCCCCATTTCATTATCTTGAGCTTGGTTAACCTAACCTGTTCTTCCTTCCAGGGGTTCAACGTGGTGATGGAGAGGTCCTGATTGAGGTCAGCATGCACTGTGATGAGTGCGAGTACGAATGCTATGACCTTGATCCTAAGAACAAGAAGTACAAATGTGCCTGTCCGCCGTACACAGAGCTGGGCGAGGATGGCAGATCATGTCTCCGTGAGTTTCATGCTAATTTATCTATTCATTTAAAACCACTACAAACCACATCATGAAATAAGGCAGGACATGCTTGTATGAGTTTCATGTTATGTATTCATACCATACCACTACATAATGCAATAATAAGAAGTATGGATTGATTGTTAAAAGTTTAGTAGACTTTTACGGGCAGAATAGACTGTTCTGTTTTATTGGCCTTTCATTATAGCTGCACATGCTGCTTCAAATTATTTACTGTAAATTGATTTGATTGTAAATCTAAAGTATAGAAACAGGCTCATAGAAATGAGGAAAACTTTTTGTTATACTACAGTAAATACGTACTGGGTATACAGTTTGTTTCTAATTATACTCAGGCTTTTTATGTGAAGACCCTGGCACTCCAAGAAATGGCCAACGGGTCCCTGCAGGGGACCTCCTCTCTGCTGAATGGTACAACCCTGGAGTATTCTTGCAATAAGGGATACTACCTCTCAGGACCAAAAACCATCACCTGTACTAGCGATGGCAGCTGGACCCCTGGAAATAATCAGCAATGTC